CTGCCGCTTCTGCTGGCCGGTGCTGACCTGGCCGGGCTCCTCCCGTTCCCAGTAGCATGTGGGAAGCCAGCTTCAGCTGCATGCTGCTTTTCCTGGCCGGTGCTGACCCAGCCGGGTCCATCCCATCTGGAGCAGCACACGGCTAAAGCTGGCTTCCCACAAGCTGCTGGGGATGGGATGAGCCCAGCCGGGTCTGCACCAGCAAGCAGAAGCAGCAGCGGAGCCGTGTGCTGCTCGGGACGGGACGAGCCCGGCTGGAGTGGCAGGGGCTCAGCTGCATTTTCCACCTGCCTGCACTGGTCAGTCCTGAGTGGCACATGGCTCTGTCGCCGCTTCTGCTGGCTGGTGCCGACCTGGCCGGGCTCCTCCCGGCCCCAGCAGCATGTGGGAATCCAGCTTCAGCCACGTGCTGCTCCTAATGGGACAGACCTGCCCAGGTCGGCACCAGCCAGCAGAGGTGGTGGGGGAGCCGTGTGCTGCTCGGGACTGACCAGCGCAGGTAGGGGAAAGTGAAGCTGAGCCGCTTGCTGCTCCGGCTGGGCTCATCCTGTCCCGAGAGGCACATGGCTACTCCTCTTCCCACACACACCGTGTCGACTACGTCAAGCTGACGTGGTGCGTGTGGGAACCTTGTCCCTTCCCCAGCCCTTCAGCAGCCATTAGGAAGCTGCTGAGGGGCCGGGGGAGGGACAAGGGGTGGGAATGAAAGTAAGCAGTGTTTACTTTCGTTTCCCGTTGCAGCACCGTGGGCCACAGAAAACGGCTTGGCGGGCCGCACGTTGGACAAGCCTGGTTTAAGATGTTCCATGCTGTTACTTTGCTAAGAAAAGCTGCTCCAAAGGTCATGGGTGAAATTCTGACACCACTGAGGCCCATGACTTTGGTAGAGCCAAGATTTTGCCAATAGGCTGGATTATGAGAATTCTAAATCTGGATTTCTTTTGGAAATAATAGGCCAATTAGGCCACACTGCTAGCTCAGAGAGATTACCAGTCTGTAAAGACTTTTTAAACAGGAAATATATAGCATGGAGAACTGGAATTGGAGCAAATATGCTGCAGTGCTTTTAAAGGATTTTTTAAAACATGACAGTGTTGGAGAAGTAGAGGTATATGCTGTCTGTCGAAGCTTCATGATAACAGCTTTCAAAGGCCAGGAAAGATAATAAATTACAGATCAATTTAATTAAAAATGGGCAGATTAGTGGCAATTAAGATGAAATTTCCTTTTCAATCCATGCTGTCTTTGGAGAAATGGATTCTTTGCCATTATCTTTATAGTAACAGTCAGTTATGACATAAATTCATGCTAATGTTAAATCTTGACAACTTCTGCTTTGGAAGTTCGTACATGATAATTATAACTATAGTTGAAAGAGATGTTATCAAGTTGTCTGAGACTAAATAAGTGCTTCTTTTTTGTGTGGCAATATTAATTCTACTATAGGATATTTTAAAGATGCAAATATTGGAAATATATTGCCTTTGTGGTAGACATTGTGTAACCATGCTCTTGTAGTCAAAGCTATTTATGAAATTCTGGTTCAAAAATTGCAGTAGAGGTGTTACATATTCTAATAAATAACTGATTCATTGGTGGAGGGGTGGGGTTGAATCCAGAAGAGCTATAATTCTTCATGTTGGTCGTCTAATATTAAGAGAAAGATCAAACTACAATTTTCTTTGCTTTTGAATGTTAATGGCAACATGGAAAGCATTTTGATTCATTTTATCTTGAACATTTATTCATAAGAATATGCAGTTTTGTAGTGTTAGCAAATATGTCTCTAATCACTGGTACCTTTTTTCTCAAGTGATTCAAATTTTCTTTAGATGATGTTATAATTGTTTGAGAGAGCTTAATCTGCTGACTTGAAAGATGGAAAAAAGAGAACTCTTGAAGGTTTTTAATAATTCTGACTTTCATATCTATATCGATATAGATAGATATAAAAATGTATATAAACATCTTGAGTTGAAAGACTTTGAAAGAAATGTCCAAAATAACATAATCCTGGTTCCCCCCTTTTCCCCCTCTCTCCCAATCCAATGCTTTGGGTCTAAGAATTTAGAAAAGGTGTGTCTAGATGAAAACCACATAATCTGTCTAGCTTTCAATTTGTAAAGTATGTTTATATTAGAAGTGCTTGTTTAATAATAAATTAAAGCAAACCACATTTAAAAATGAATGTGAAATGAAAAGTATTTGACATTTCTTGAAACAATTTTATAAAAACATGTTTTAAAAACCCCCCAAATATTCCTCATAGTGTTGGAAAGAGCTGTTTATGCTAGTCCATAGTCAGAAGTGAAACTGACTATAGGGAAAATGTAAAGCTGATTGTTTCAGCGTTGGGGCCCAAATTGAATGAAATTATTTTAAGTAAATTATATTAATTTTTAATTGCCTAAAGTATTAGTAGAAAACAAAAGTAATTTAGATTTTAATACATGTATTAAAAATATCACAAGCTAATTGTATGACATGTCCACTCAATTTTCAGTTTAGAGTGCTGCCTCTATTTAACCCATAGTAATTTAGCAGTCTTTCATTGAGGTCTAAGCTCCTGTAGTTTAGCTTTCACTTATCAAAGGGTACAACCAAGCAGTTATCATGGATTATCAAATGCGTGGTAAAGCAAACCCTTTCCACACCTTTTACCTGTGGCAAATTGTTCGTATAACCCTACACTTGGATGGTGTTTTTTACCAGGCTTTTGCGTGTTTTGTCAATGTTTCTATCCTTTCCTAATCTTCTGGGCAGATCCCCTTTTCAAAACTGTTTGTGCTCCATGAAGGAAACTTACTTATGGAGGACTTGCTGGGTTTTTGGTTGTAGCCGTGTTGGTCTAAGCTAAGGGCATAGGCAGGCAAGGTTCTTTGGGTAGATGTGATATCTTCTATTAGACCAGCTGAGTAGTTGGAAAAAAGTTCTTTGCATGCTTTTGGGTGCAGTAGTGCAATCGCCTTTCTTCAGGCATAGGATGTCTCTGCTGTTCTGAGGCTCCAAGGAATAAAAGAAGCTAAAAGTGTGACAGGATGCCAGTGGGAATGTAAATAGGTAGAAATAAGGGAAATACAAGGTAGAGCTGGGAGGGGAGGAGAGGGGGGAAATGAGGGGGAATAAAAGCCAAAGGTAAATAAGGGAGACCCTACGGTAGTAGTTTTCCCAGGTTGAAAAGAGTCAGTCTATGAAAAAAGTAAATAGCAGGAAATTAGGCAGAGAAAGG